TGACCTCCATCTCGATGACGCCCTTGCCGAGGTCGAAGACCTTGTTGGTCTCCTTGAAGAGCTCGTCCTGGCCGCCCTGACCATCGGACTGCATGGCCGGCAGGGCCACGGCCTGATCGTAACCCAAGGTCATACCTCGGCCCTTAGGGTCAAGGAAACCGCCGGTTCGGTAGGAGGGGACGCTGAACTCGCCACCCCATGTGAAGCCCGGCTTGAAGGAGCTGCCCTCGCCCTTGGCCACCAGCTCCTTCACGGTGAACAGGAAGGGCACGTACTCGCCGTCCGGCAGCTTCACGGTGGTGGCCGCGAAGTCCATACCGTCCTGCTCCTTGAAGGTGATGGGGTTGGCATCCAGGCTGCCCTCGATGAAGGCCAGGGTGTAGGTCTGACGGGTGGTCAGCTTGGTGGTGGCGAACTCCTTGCCCTTGTCGGTCTCGAACTCTACTGCGAAGGACTTCGGCTCGAAGCACACGTTCACGAGCCGAGAGCCGCCCTTCACGGGGACCTCCGTGCCGTTGGACTCGACGGTGGGGCAGCGGTTGGCCAAGCCGGAGCCCTTCACCTGTGCGTAGGTGAGCTGGCTGAACTGCTCCGCCGTGATGGCGCGGGCGGGCTTGGCGGCCACGACGCCGAAGATCAGGCCCAGGGCGGCGCCGAAGCTCAGCAGCGGTGCAGCCCAGGAGTTGCCGGCCATGCTCGGCTGCGGCATCTCGTGCTCGACCGCATTGGGCGCGGCGCGGGGCGTCTGCGATCCTTGTTGGGGAAGACCGGTCAGGAAGCAGCTTGCCACGCCGAGGACTGCCAGAACGGCGACAGCGCTCACAGCAAAGGAATTGCGCGCCATCTTCAGACAACCGTTTACGGTCCCGGGCAGTACAAGAACAAATTCTGAGAGCCCGTCCGAAGCGCAGGTAACCCACAACCAGACCCACCTAGCCCAGAAACAGCGACCATCACAGGCACAGCTTGTCACTGCGGCAGAGATCTTGAGGGACTCCGGCTCATCTTTAAGAGGTCATGAGACACCATAAGACACCGAGACTTCTCCAATGCCACATCATTTGACAAAGGTCACATGTAATGGCCTTCCATGTTTGCTCATCAAGACAAGGGAGATGCAGAGATGTTCAGATGATGTCAGCCTGTGCTGGGGCTGCAACAGGGAAGACCCCGACCTGCTTGCACTCTCGTCTTTTGCTCGCGCTCGGTGCGCGATCGTCTGTGCCTGCCTTCTCTTGTGACTGCCTCCCTATGCCCTATGCGTTCACGACCTTGCCGTAGAAGATGCCCTTGAGCAGCACTGTCCTTTCAGGTCGGAGCACTCGGAAACGAGACCTGAAACAGTTTGAAACCGGGTCAGAGAAAACATAAGCCCATGCCTAAAAGGAACCTGGCCAAAGTGCACCCTCATTCCCCTTGTCCTCGGGGCTTTGGCACCCATGTCGGTGTCGGAGGGCTGCTTCGACACGAAAACGCCGCCGATCTCACCGAGCTCCTGGTTCACCTGCAAGAGTCAGAGATGCTGTGGAACTCAACAAAGGCTCAGGCTGCAGTGTTGACATGGCTCTGCAGCCGGAAGGCTACAAGACAAATCTGCAGCAAACGAACGCCCAAGTGAAGACTTGCGATAGTTCGGATCAGGTCACAAGATTCTAGTGTGTGTGTGTGTTGTTGACGCTCCTGATTTTGCGCTCATTCTGAGCAATTGCTGGGATACATACTCGCCTTGTTGACCTCCATCTCGATGACGCCCTTGCCGAGGTCGAAGACCTTGTTGGTCTCCTTGAAGAGCTCGTCCTGGCCACCCTGACCATCGGACTGCATGGCCGGCAGGGCCACGGCCTGATCGTAACCCAAGGTCATACCTCGGCCCTTAGGGTCAAGGAAGCCGCCGGTTCGGTAGGAGGGGACACTGAACTCGCCACCCCATGTGAAGCCCGGCTTGAAGGAGCTGCCCTCGCCCTTGGCCACCAGCTCCTTCACGGTGAACAGGAAGGGCACGTATTCGCCGTCCGGCAGCTTCACGGTGGTGGCCGCGAAGTCCATACCGTCCTGCTCCTTGAAGGTGATGGGGTTGGCATCCAGGCTGCCCTCGATGAAGGCCAGGGTGTAGGTCTGACGGGTGGTCAGCTTGGTGGTGGCGAACTCCTTGCCCTTGTCGGTCTCGAACTCTACTGCGAAGGACTTCGGCTCGAAGCACACGTTCACGAGCCGAGAGCCGCCCTTCACGGGGACCTCCGTGCCGTTGGACTCGACGGTGGGGCAGCGGTTGGCCAAGCCGGAGCCCTTCACCTGTGCGTAGGTGAGCTGGCTGAACTGCTCCGCCGTGATGGCGCGGGCGGGCTTGGCGGCCACGACGCCGAAGATCAGGCCCAGGGCGGCGCCGAAGCTCAGCAGCGGTGCAGCCCAGGAGGTGCCGGCCATGCTCGGCTGCGGCATCTCGTGCTCGACCGCATTGGGCGCGGCGCGGGGCGGCTGCGATCCTTGTTGGGGAAGACCGGTCAGGAAGCAGCTTGCCACGCCGAGGACTGCCAGAACGGCGACAGCGCTCACGGCAAAGGAATTGCGCGCCATCTTCACAAAAACTTGCTCTGCAGACACACAGATCTAGCAGGGGAAAAAACTTGATGCATCAGCATGCAAAGCAATGCTGCACTCTTGCCCGCATCACACCGTCTCATGCTCAAGAGAACCAATGAATACTTCACATGGCCAATACATCCCCCCCCCCACCCTATCTGTTTCGAAGTGCTCGCTGCCTGGTCGGTGTGACGTCCTCTCGACCGAAGGGCTGCTAAATTCTTCCTGAAAGATCCTGTGCTGCCAACGCGATCAACAAAGGAGTAGTCCGACGACGGAAAAACAAAGATGCAATTGCACCATGAAGTGTGGGTGGCCTCCCCTTCGCATTGCAAGTAGTAAGTAGGTCAAAGCAAGATCTATTCTCTCTCAAACCACCATCCGCTTACCTCATTGCTTCGCTCCGAAGGAGATTCCACGGGGCAAGTCCTTGGGACTGCCCTCATTCCAGGGAGCTATGCCAGGGATTCCGCCGCGAGCGAACTTCCAGGCTCCTGGGCTTTCCTGTGCGAGATCACTTGCTGCTGTGGCACTCCTACTCAGGACTTCGACTCACACTTATCCTCCTCCTCCTCCCTTCTCCTCCTCCGCCTACTACTACATCTACATCTACTTCTGCTGCTTCTACGGCGACCACCACACCACCTGCGTTTGCATACCAGGGGTACGACTCCATGCCAGCTGAGACCGCCATCCAAACCCGCAGCCGAAGTCAGCTGAAAGCAGGAAACAGAATTGCGAGTTGTTCCTTCAACCAGATTCAAACGCTGCTGGTATGCTGCCGTGGAGGATGGAGGGTACACAACGCTTCAGGATTTATTGATTTGGTCGTCGGTGGCCTCGCGAGGAGATGCAAGGATTAAGTCTCCGTGCAGCCGGCGATGAAGTTGCCCCTAAAGGCTCAGACCACGAGGGCGCTCGGCCCAGGTATCGGATTGACGATGTTGTCCTGGCGGCAGACAGGGGCACCACAGGACCGCTAGCTGCTCAACACTCATCAGGGCTCCCTGTGTTCTTGCATTGAAAGGCCTGCTGCAGAGGATGGATTTGGCGAGTGGCTTCCAGAGCTGCGGGTTTACTTGGTGTCAGGAGTACAGCGAAAGCAACGGAGGAAGGGCCCTCGGAGGGTAAGACGAGATGGAGACCGGGCGCATTCACCCGACCGAAAACCTGAATCCTGAAGCTTGAACCCCGACTGTTCGCACAAAGCAATACGTAGTTCAAGCCTTAAGAATAAATCGCATTGGCTGCCAGATGAGCGGAGTGAACACCACTGCGCAGGTCTACATCGTAATAGTGCGGAAATGTCTTCGTGCTCCCACGCGCACTCTCGCTCTCTCTCTCTCTCTCTCTCTCTCTCTCTCTCTCGCTCTTCTTCCCCGGGGCATGAGGGGAGTGTGTCTCTCTCTCTCTCTCTCTCCCTCTCGCCCTCCGTCGCTGCCTCCAGCTTATTTCAGCTGCATGGAGGTGAATATTTCTATGTTAAGTACTTGCCTATCACACAGACGTTGTGCGTGTACAGCTATCTTTCCCGAACCAGGATTCGAGCGTCGTGGCAAAGCACGACCCCGACGCCGAGATGGATCTGCGAGGATCTGTTTCGCGAAATGGCTTTGAACAGCAAGTGTTAAAGGCCCGTTTCACAAAGGTTGATCTGACCGCTGAGAGATCACTCGCGCATCGCCGCTTTTACACTGCCCGGTGTGTCTTCATCCCAGGGCGATGAGCAAGCAGACTGCTTTGCAGAAAGCCCGCACAAACTTACGTAAGCTGCAGTGGCCTTTCTGACGGGAATTGTACCTCAATCAGCAAAAACAGATGTGCTGCAGCGGCCGCGTTGAAGGGAATTTTCCCTCAATCAGGCCTTCCTGAATGGAATTTAGCCTCAATCAGGAGAAAGAAGCAAAATGCTCTTCGAGCTAATGCAAAAACCCCGCTCAACGATGCAGCCTACAGGTCCTGGCCGCCCTTGACTTCCTGCATGAAGTGCACAGCATCGCTTTCCGACTCATGGCGTGTCGGCTCGGCGTCCGTGCCAACGGCAGCCATCGTTCCCTGGCTCTGCCCATAATAACCCTTCCGGCGAAAGCGCGGGAAAAAGCGCCGGAACGGTTTCCATGATAACCATTTCCTCAGCTGTCGCAGGTGTAGAGCACGGATCCCAGCTGACTAAAAGTCTGGAATCAAGATCTATAGGGCCTTGATCCTAATTGACGATAAACAGATTTCCCATGTTTTACCATCTCAGTTTATCTAAATGATTGTCAACTGGATCTCCAAGTAGGGTCTTGATCCGAAAAGGCTCCAATCCTGAACCAAACCAGACCAAAGAAGGAGAGGCAGCCCAAAGTATCCCAGATCCCTATTCCAGCTTTCTGGAGCCCAGTGTATCTGCATCCCCTGGGACTTGTACAAAGCCTGAAGCACCCCGAAATGAGAAAAGTGGAAAGGAGGCAAGCTTCTTGCTGCATGGAAAATCCATGACGTCCGTGGTGTTCACCACCTGCACGCCGTCGAGTGCCACAAACGCCTCGAAGCGACGGGAATCTTCCACTGGCGGGGTCAATGGCCTTCTCGAGGGCACATCTTCGTTGGTGAGATGAATCCGCGGGTATTCTACGACGATGGTCTTGGAAGAGCAAACCAAAGTTCAGAAACTCTAACGCCTACCCGCAGCAACACCGACGAGTTTACCTTTTACTACTAGCGATCAGGTCACTTCACCTGTCTTCCCGACATCAACCCTGAGTTCTAAAACGCCCTTGAAGCGGCCCATGTGCCTCCAACGCAGCGGCCTCCGTTTGGGGAGAGATGCCAGCTGTCGCATCGCCGACCACTACGACCTCGTGATCCGCACTGCTTCGGCAGCTTGAGTGGGCTAGCATGCTTCCTTCTTTTGAGTGGCCGTATAAGGCGTCAGGGTCAAGGCTCTCGTGCTGCATGTCATGTGCGTGTTGGGGGCTTGAGATCCACTTAGTGGGTGAAAGATCGTGGACGTCGGAAACCCATGACATGATTGCCTTGTATCCGCGCGTGACGGCATCGCGGACCGTGTAGTCCACAACGACATCCGTGGCGATGCCGACGATGAAAAGCGTCTCGATCCCCTTCCCCTGGAGTATGTCATCCAGGGGCGTCTGCAAGTTGTTGGTGTTGTCCGCAAAGGCACTGTAGGCGTCCACGAACTTGGTGTTTCCTTTCTGGACGATCTCCGATGGTATGTCCAACTCCAGGGCGCTGTCCCCATCAAACTCACAGTGATCCGTCCACATCCGCTGTGTTGTCTTGAAGCATTGCTCTGGAGTTGCATTGCAGATGGTGCATGCCGGATTCCCTGTGATGATGCTGTCGCTGGCGTTGTACATGAAGTTGTTGCCGTCTCCGGGGCACAGAACCTCTGAGCAGTTGAACTCCGAGGGGTTCAGGAAGTAGCTGGGGCAGCAAGAAGCATCCTGGATGTTCCCGTCCGTGGCCTCCACACACGTGATGGGCAACTCACCCTTTCCTAAGGACACGTCGGCAAAGGGAGGGAGACCATGGACGCTTGCGAAGGAGATGTGTCCTGGCGGATGAAAGTCCTGGGACCTCACAACCAAGTCGAAGAGACATCCTTTGTCGTCGTAGATTTGCTGGATCTTCTCCAGAATCCTGTCAGAGCCGCTGACTCCCAGGGAACCATTGGGCAAGAAGCAATCCTGCACATCCACGATGAGCAGCGCGGTCTTGCCCTTGCCGCCAACATTGACAGCAGAGCTGGCTCCGAGAATCGCCCCTACGGCGAGCAGCGCAAACATGGCGACTGTAGACAGATCGTAAGAGAATCTAGGACTTGGCCTTGCAAAGTCAGGCTGCGCAGATTCAAGCATGTAGCTTAGTCAGCTTTGGAGCCCTAGCTCATTTCCCAACTCTTCCCAAGTCCTGCACGGAGATGTAGCTCATGTGGATGACCACCGGTTCGATTTTCGCCCCTTCAGGGGGTCTCCGTTGATGCGAAGCTTTCTTTAGGGTCCCTGGTCTTGCACAGCAGAAGAGGGCAAGAGTAAGCGCCTTCGGGAATGCGATCGACAGGCAGGGGATGACAAAAGAATCATAAAGAATCTGTCACCTTGTGGCCATAGTCCTTCCAGTGCCGTGGGGCATCGGATGCTGCTGGTACGTAGACGCAGCGCTTGACCTAGATCCGAGCTTGCTCTGTGACAAGCGGCAAAGTCCCCGGGTTCCAACCCCAAGTAAGCCAAAGTAGCAAAAACGCAGCGAGATTGTAGAAGCCAAATTGCTAGGGGTTGCAGAGGCTGCGTGATGGGCCGTAAAGTTGAGGGTGTGGTCTTCCTCAGCACCTGGGGCTCAGAGCCCGAACATCTCCTGGTGCAGGATTTGCTCGCCAGTCACGTCCTGCAATCCAAGGCAAAAGGCTTGCGACAGCACTGCAAAGAGACATGTGAGTCGGAACTCACCACCCTCCGAACACGACTTGACGGCCTCAACGAAGACCCTGAATGGCTCGTGCACTTTGCGGCAGGAGCCTTGAAAGATTCGAGTATTCGGGAGAACGGGATCCAGGAGACTCTGAGAACGGGAGGTGCTGGTGAAACTCCCTGCAAGACGCGGCGTGAATCCCGCAACTATAGCATAGCGCCTCATGGGTTGCATGTACGCACTGAAATCCACGCAGAGAACTCATGGACGAGCTTGGGATGGTGTCGCCTCGGCAGTGGGACACGCCCTCTCTCAGTGTGGGCATTCCCTCCGTTGCATACCTCCAGCCCTTGTGCAGGGTCGTCTTAACCTGCTTTGGCGGAATTACCCGACTCAACTATCGCTTCTCTGACAACTCCGGTCGGTCTCCGCCGGAATTCCCGGAACCCCCGAGATTTTAGCTCACAACATCTCGCGACTGAACCAGTGCACATGTGAACGTCTATGACTCAGACATCTTCGTATCTGACCGACGAGGCCCTCACTCGTCTTCGAGAATCGGATGAATTCAACGATCTCCACGCTCGACAGCTCGTAGCGCTCTCTCACGCAAAGTCCTCCTGCACTTTCGGGAGGTTGACGCGTTAAGCAGATCTCTGCAACCAGTGGGCATCTGGCAGCTCTAGCACGCACAAAATCCTGCAACAAGCACCTTGCCTTCTTCTCGCTTTCCGCAGGACATCTGCTGCCAGATCCTGGTACTGTTTTGGCTGAAATTGCCCTGGGGGCTCTGGGGTCCTCGATTTTGACTCAGTTGCCCGGCGCATGTTTCTTCGACGAATGCCGACGGGTTGGCGACTGTGGGCACAAGGACAGGAACAAGCTAAGGCAGGGTGAACAAGCACAACATGCCAAAGCATGTGGCACTGAAGAGATACCATCCAGCCCGCTAACCTCCGGCATTCCGCATCGCTTGACTTCAACTCTTTCTGAGCACAGCTGTGGCATGGACAAGATGCTTTACCTTTCAGACGGCAGGTCACAGGGATCGACCATATACCAGGCATGGCCAATGACAGCTCTTGAATCTGGGTTGTTTTAGCTTGTCATGCGCAACTATAACTAGGAAGGGCCCTCGGAGGGTAAGACGAGATGGAGACCGGGCGCATTCACCCGACCGAAAACCTGAATCCTGAAGCTTGAACCCCGAATGTTCGCACAAAGCAATACGTAGTTCAAGCCTTAGAAATAAATCGCATTGGCTGCCAGATGAGCGGAGTGAACACCACTGCGCAGGTCTACATCGTAATAGTGCGGAAATGTCTTCGTGCTCCCACGCACTCTCGCTCTCTCTCTCTCTCTCTCTCTCTCTCTCTCTCTCTCGCTCTTCTTCCCCGGGGCATGAGGGGAGTGTCTCTCTTCTTCTTCTTCCGCCGGGCATGAGGGGCTGTTAAGACCCCTCGGCCACTAGGGCCCCCCCGTATTTTGTGGGGACTTTGGAGGAGTGTCCTCTCTCTCTCTCTCTCTCTCCCCTCCAGCTTATTTCAGCTGCATGGAGGTGAATATTTCTATGTTAAGTACTTGCCTATCACACAGACGTTGTGCGTGTACAGCTATCTTTCCCGAACCAGGATTCGAGCGTCGTGGCAAAGCACGACCCCGACGCCGAGATGGATCTGCGAGGATCTGTTTCGCGAAATGGCTTTGAACAGCAAGTGTTAAAGGCCCGTTTCACAAAGGTTGATCTGACCGCTGAGAGATCACTCGCGCATCGCCGCTTTTACACTGCCCGGTGTGTCTTCATCCCAGGGCGATGAGCAAGCAGACTGCTTTGCAGAAAGCCCGCACAAACTTACGTAAGCTGCAGTGGCCTTTCTGACGGGAATTGTACCTCAATCAGCAAAAACAGATGTGCTGCAGCGGCCGCGTTGAAGGGAATTTTCCCTCAATCAGGCCTTCCTGAATGGAATTTAGCCTCAATCAGGAGAAGGGAGCAAAATGCTCTTCGAGCTAATGCAAAAACCCCGCTCAACGATGCAGCCTACAGGTCCTGGCCGCCCTTGACTTCCTGCATGAAGTGCACAGCATCGCTTTCCGACTCATGGCGTGTCGGCTCGGCGTCCGTGCCAAGGGCAGCCATCGTTCCCTGGCTCTGCCCATAATAACCCTTCCGGCGAAAGCGCGGGAAAAAGCGCCGGAACGGTTTCCATGATAACCATTTCCTCAGCTGTCGCAGGTGTAGAGCACGGATCCCAGCTGACTAAAACTCTGGAATCAAGATCTATAGGGCCTTGATCCTAATTGACGATAAAGAGATTTCGCATGTTTTACCATCTCAGTTTATCTAAATGATTGTCAACTGGATCTCCAAGTAGGGTCTTGATCCCAAAAGGCTCCAATCCTGAACCAAACCAGACCAAAGAAGGAGAGGCAGCCCAAAGTATCCCAGATCCCTATTCCAGCTTTCTGGAGCCCAGTGTATCTGCATCCCCTGGGACTTGTACAAAGCCTGAAGCACCCCGAAATGAGAAAAGTGGAAAGGAGGCAAGCTTCTTGCTGCATGGAAAATCCATGACGTCCGTGGTGTTCACCACCTGCACGCCGTCGAGTGCCACAAACGCCTCGAAGCGACGGGAATCTTCCACTGGCGGGTTCAATGGCCTTCTCGAGGGCACATCTTCGTTGGTGAGATGAATCCGCGGGTATTCTACGACGATGGTCTTGGAAGAGCAAACCAAAGTTCAGAAACTCTAACGCCTACCCGCAGCAACACCGACGAGTTTACCTTTTACTACTAGCGATCAGGTCACTTCACCTGTCTTCCCGACATCAACCCTGAGTTCTAAAACGCCCTTGAAGCGGCCCATGTGCCTCCAACGCAGCGGCCTCCGTTTGGGGAGAGATGCCAGCTGTCGCATCGCCGACCACTACGACCTCGTGATCCGCACTGCTTCGGCAGCTTGAGTGGGCTAGCATGCTTCCTTCTTTTGAGTGGCCGTATAAGGCGTCAGGGTCAAGGCTCTCGTGCTGCATGTCATGTGCGTGTTGGGGGCTTGAGATCCACTTAGTGGGTGAAAGATCGTGGACGTCGGAAACCCATGACATGATTGCCTTGTATCCGCGCGTGACGGCATCGCGGACCGTGTAGTCCACAACGACATCCGTGGCGATGCCGACGATGAAAAGCGTCTCGATCCCCTTCCCCTGGAGTATGTCATCCAGGGGCGTCTGCAAGTTGTTGGTGTTGTCCGCAAAGGCACTGTAGGCGTCCACGAACTTGGTGTTTCCTTTCTGGACGATCTCCGATGGTATGTCCAACTCCAGGGCGCTGTCCCCATCAAACTCACAGTGATCCGTCCACATCCGCTGTGTTGTCTTGAAGCATTGCTCTGGAGTTGCATTGCAGATGGTGCATGCCGGATTCCCTGTGATGATGCTGTCGCTGGCGTTGTACATGAAGTTGTTGCCGTCTCCTGGGCACAGAACCTCTGAGCAGTTGAACTCCGAGGGGTTCAGGAAGTAGCTGGGGCAGCAAGAAGCATCCTGGATGTTCCCGTCCGTGGCCTCCACACACGTGATGGGCAACTCACCCTTTCCTAAGGACACGTCGGCAAAGGGAGGGAGACCATGGACGCTTGCGAAGGAGATGTGTCCTGGCGGATGAAAGTCCTGGGACCTCACAACCAAGTCGAAGAGACATCCTTTGTCGTCGTAGATTTGCTGGATCTTCTCCAGAATCCTGTCAGAGCCGCTGACTCCCAGGGAACCATTGGGCAAGAAGCAATCCTGCACATCCACGATGAGCAGCGCGGTCTTGCCCTTGCCGCCAACATTGACAGCAGAGCTGGCTGCGAGAATCGCCCCTACGGCGAGCAGCGCAAACATGGCGACTGTAGACAGATCGTAAGAGAATCTAGAACTTGGCCTTGCAAAGTCAGGCTGGCGCAGCAGATTCAAGCATGTAGCTTAGTCAGCTTTGGAGCCCTAGCTCATTTCCCAACTCTTCCCAAGTCCTGCACGGAGATGTAGCTCATGTGGATGACCACCGGTTCGATTTTCGCCCCTTCAGGGGGTCTCCGTTGATGCGAAGCTTTCTTTAGGGTCCCTGGTCTTGCACAGCAGAAGAGGGCAAGAGTAAGCGCCTTCGGGAATGCGATCGACAGGCAGGGGATGACAAAAGAATCATAAAGAATCTGTCACCTTGTGGCCATAGTCCTTCCAGTGCCGTGGGGCATCGGATGCTGCTGGTACGTAGACGCAGCGCTTGACCTAGATCCGAGCTTGCTCTGTGACAAGCGGCAAAGTCCCCGGGTTCCAACCCCAAGTAAGCCAAAGTAGCAAAAACGCAGCGAGATTGTAGAAGCCAAATTGCTAGGGGTTGCAGAGGCTGCGTGATGGGCCGTAAAGTTGAGGGTGTGGTCTTCCTCAGCACCTGGGGCTCAGAGCCCGAACATCTCCTGGTGCAGGATTTGCTCGCCAGTCACGTCCTGCAATCCAAGGCAAAAGGCTTGCGACAGCACTGCAAAGAGACATGTGAGTCGGAACTCACCACCCTCCGAACACGACTTGACGGCCTCAACGAAGACCCTGAATGGCTCGTGCACTTTGCGGCAGGAGCCTTGAAAGATTCGAGTATTCGGGAGAACGGGATCCAGGAGACTCTGAGAACGGGAGGTGCTGGTGAAACTCCCTGCAAGACGCGGCGTGAATCCCGCAACTATAGCATAGCGCCTCATGGGTTGCATGTACGCACTGAAATCCACGCAGAGAACTCATGGACGAGCTTGGGATGGTGTCGCCTCGGCAGTGGGACACGCCCTCTCTCAGTGTGGGCATTCCCTCCGTTGCACGCCTACCTCCAGCCCTTGTGCAGGGTCGTCTTAACTTGCTTTGGCGGAATTACCCGACTCAACTATCGCTTCTCTGACAACTCCGGTAGGTCTCCGCCGGAATTCCCGGAACCCCCGAGATTTTAGCTCACAACATCTCGCGACTGAACCAGTGCACATGTGAACGTCTATGACTCAGACATCTTCGTATCTGACCGACGAGGCCCTCACTCGTCTTCGAGAATCGGATGAATTCAACGATCTCCGCGCTCGACAGCTCGTAGCGCTCTCTCACGCAAAGTCCTCCTGCACTTTCGGGAGGTTGACGCGTTAAGCAGATCTCTGCAACCAGTGGGCATCTGGCAGCTCTAGCACGCACAAAATCCTGCAACAAGCACCTTGCCTTCTTCTCGCTTTCCGCAGGACATCTGCTGCCAGATCCTGGTACTGTTTTGGCTGAAATTGCCCTGGGGGCTCTGGGGTCCTCGATTTTGACTCAGTTGCCCGGCGCATGTTTCTTCGACGAATGCCGATGGGTTGGCGACTGTGGGCACAAGGACAGGAACAAGCTAAGGCAGGGTGAACAAGCACGACATGCCAAAGCATGTGGCACTGAAGAGATACCATCCAGCCCCGCTAACCTCCGGCATTCCGCATCGCTTGACTTCAACTGTTTCTGAGCACAGCTGTGGCATGGACAAGATGCTTTACCTTTCAGACGGCAGGTCACAGGGATCGACCATATACCAAGCATGGCCAATGACAGCTCTTGAATCTGGGTTGTTTTAGCTTGTCATGCGCAACTATAACTAGCAGAAGCCCCAGAGCTCGTGCATTTTGGGCACCCTTACAGGCCTGGGTATGTCGGCATGATTTACAGCTGATGCTGGATTCGTGCAAGCCCGCCTCAGACCACGATCTCGGTGTCACCGGCGGAGGGCGTCGGAGAAAAGCAGCAGCACAGGGTTTCCTCGCAGGCCTGGAAGCACAGGCTTGCATGAACAGAAGTCAGCCCCGCTCGGTTGCCCAGCCTTGAGGAACCGCTATGCATCCTCGCGCTGCTTGGCTGCCTGGCGTGGCGAAAAAGGCTAAAGCACACTCAGCACCAAGCCACCACCCCAAGTTGTCATGGGCCTCCCGATGCACAGCATCGACTATGTCCGGCAGGTCCCTCTCCAAGAAGACTTGCGACTGGCATCGCGTGGCAAACCATACAACGACACCGACAACGCTCACTCAGTCGCTGCAATGAGGCTCGCCTGCACCATTGGCGGGGAGTGTCGGTGGCGCGACGTCGCCGATGCATAAGTGTGCACTGGGCGCAAGATACTGCACAGCACGCTGTTGTACGTCGACCACTCCAGGCCGTACATGGCGCCCGAGATCCTAGCGATAGTGCCAGAGGAAGAGGAGGAGGAGTGGCGGCAGTGCTTCGCATAGAGCCGGGAAGCGTCATTGCAAACCTTTGCTGCGGCCTTTCACCTGGTGTTTTTAGGCTCCACAGACTGCTGCCAGCTACAGAAAAGTCACTCGTCTTTCCTCTGAAGGGCCGTGCCAACTTTCACAGGATAGTGGTCAGGCTTCTATCACTCAGGTCATTCAAAAAAGCACCTATCCGTTCTCGGGGCTGCGGCGGAAGTACGCGGGCTGGTCCGGGGTCGGGCCGTCCACGGTCGGGCCCAGCGCACCATAGCCCGTCACGTCGTCAGCGGATGGCTGCTTGCCCTCCCAGTCCAAGAAGAGGATCCACACGAAGATGATCGGGATGAAGATGAGGATCGCATCCTGCTGACTGATGGCATCGGACGCCTGATCAGTTGCCAATGCAGGCGCAGCCGGGAGTCCAGCCACCACTGCACCGGCCACAGCTGCTTCCTGACCTCGCAGCTTTGGGCTAGAGCCTGGTGCCAGGAAGGCCAGCTGGTTCAGGGCCAGCAGCGCGCAGGCCACCACCGCCGCCTTCAGCAGCGCCGACGAGTGGCGCGCCATGGCGGGCAGCAAATGCAGCCCGGTGAACACAGACCTCCCGAATAAGAGCCGAGAGTCAGGGTGTGGCAGGCAGTATTCGGATCAGAGCCACTTTGCCCTTGAAGCTTCAACAACTTGTCATTGAACGGGCGCCAGGACGCGCCTTTGTGACTGTGCTAGAATGCAACATGAGATGCAACTTGCTATGATTGATTGATTGCCTGTGGGTGCGAACACCCTTGCAATTGCAAGGCACAGGAGTGCTGGCCCGTGCCATGACCACGATTCCAGCATCAGAGACATTCCATCAATGCGAACCATGACCCAAGGAGGAGAATGAAAAGCGAATTGATGGGAGGGACTCCAACCTCAGCAGTTTTGCTGCCGGTTCCCAGCAGGCCTGTTGCCTGGTACCCTCGAAGCTTTCCAACAAGAGGTACAACGCATTTTTGCCTATGGCAGACTCCATTGCGCAACGACCGTCCCAGTTGAGATGCGTTGGAAACTGGATCACCGATTTCCATATGGGTAAAAAATCTTCGGGAGTCTTTGGTTTCCAGCGCACCTCTGCCCCTGTCGCGAGCCTGAAAGAGAAGATGGGATTTAGGATGTTGCAGTTGCAGGCCGACTTAGCACTGCGGCGTAAATCCTGACATCTTTAGTTCTGAGTTCATGGAAGGTCTAAACACTCCGTCGTTAGTCCGGCCAGCGGCTACTGTAGGAAACTCGATCGAGGTTGTGTATGAAAATTGTCCTGGCTGAGGACCGTATTGGATGACTTTCCCTTAACCTCACCTCCGCTTTGGAGCTCTTGAAATGTAACCTGTGAAAAATGGGAAACGTTTCGGAGGTCCGGCGGGTGAGACATGCACCACGCAGAGTGCGAGGGATCTTGAGACTCGTAGTTTCTCACCTCGTTGTTGGAGAGCTTCACCGGTTCAGCTTTTGAGCCCTTGAAGCCGATCCTGCGAAGTTCGTGGGTCTGTGTAATCTGTGCTCTCGGTGGGGTGCAAGCCTAAAGCAAGTCGCGTGTTGGTGCATCGTATGCACAGGCATCACATTACTACGTCCTTGCTTCAAGTCCTGTCTAGGATGAAACAGCTTCGCATGACCTCTGAAAACCAAAAACCATTCGTGCACACCCTGTGATTGGCTGCTTCAAGGTCTGTAGAGCTGAGGTTCTAGGAGTTCAGCCTACCATAAACTCATTTGAAGATCGGCCGTGTGAACGACCGCAACAATATACTATACACTCTTCATGATGAACGAAACACTCTTTACAGCCTGGAGGTCTGAAGTTTTGAGGGTCGAGGACTCCAAGCACTGCGATTGAAGGTTTACAATCGAGGGTTCCTTGCTTGGACCTCCAATAATTCACCCCCTCGGCCGCGTCCGCACAACTCTTGCCACACTGGTTGCAACCTGCCCGTAACCTCGCTATGCTACACTGCCCTGCACCTAGGACAACGACAGTCTGACCCTCATGTTTGCATTCGCCGGAGTGATCACACTTGATTGACAAGCCAGGTCTTTGCAAGTATCTCTCGAAATTGCAAAGCCAAATCTGTCAATATTCTCCGTGCGGCGGAGGGGGTTCCACATGCAACTAGGCCACTTGAGGGCAAACGTGTGCTTCTGATGCTGGGAGGAAACATCGACCGGCCCTGTCGCGCTCTTACTGAAACCGAACTATGAACACGAACAATGATTCTACATGCGTGGTGAACCGAGCCATCCGCAAGGTGCAAGCTCAAGAGCAGGATTTGTCGAAATTCAGTGCTGCCCTACTTGCGACGAACAGATAGCGCCGAGCTATGCTGCTTCTGAGGTCAGGCACCCCTCATGTGCGACCCTGAAACCTGCATGCTCACTCCGACTGCCCAAACCACCGTGAAATCTTAGGCCATGCACCGTAAACTGCTGTGGCGCCGCGGGCTTTGCGTGTTCTCCCTCCCGGCGGTGCATTAACAGCTGCATGGTCCCTTTCTGTGATCTTTTTGGCATGCTGCTTGTGGACTGCACGCGAACTTTAACGTTGGGGCAATGGACCTGGCAGTCATCGCCGCGGTGGAGCTCATCAGATCTCATCAGCATGCTAGTAACACTAGTAGCAGCGGCAGCAAGGTTCAGCAGCAGCACTAGCACGAGCACTTAGGAGCAGCAGCAGCGGCCGTTGTGTTGAAACCTGCGATGATCTTACGGCTCATAAACAGACCACATCACATGCTTTATCTCTACCCGTGAAAAACTGGCAGGTGCGGCGCCCGACGCAGTGCTGCGGAGAGGCTGGGGGCAGGGGTTTCGGATTAAGGCTGGGTCCATTCAGCCTGCCACTTGGTGAATCGGGCACGATGCAGCTTCATCTTCACGCTTCTCTCTCCGCGCTGGTGGTCTGCTGCTGCTGCCGCTGCCGCTGCTGACGATGGTGGTGCTGCTGGTGATGATGATGCACATTGACATGATGTTGAGGAGGAGTACGACGACACGAGGACGTTGATGAGGACGATGATGATGACGATGATGATCGGCGTGAACTCCCCGAAGGCCCAGAGCTTTGTCATCAGATGCATGCTGATGAAGCTGCGTTGTGGTTCTGGTTGAAACGGACTCTCTGCACTATGTTCTGTGGGGTCCTGCAGACACCTCCTGCAGCTCCGAAAGATCAAAGAGAATTCCGAGAGAGCTAAAGTCCTGAGCTTCCATGAGCTTTCTATCTTGGATCCTTGAACATCGACGCAGAAACGAATTTGTGGATGATGTGGATGTCATGCTGGAGTGTGAAGGCTTGAAGTATTCTGCCCCAACTTCCGATCTTGGAAGTCTGAGAATGTGTCTAAAGGATCCCACTGTTGAAAACGCCAACAGCTTGCCCGCCGTGTCTCTTGCGGGGCTGCGGAACGGGACGCGCACTTCTCGCACCGATATTGTGGGTTTTGGGTTCGGGTCTGAAAGCATATGGCTGCTGTGGCTCCAGCCTAGCCGAATCTCATTCATCAGGGCTGTCTACCTGCACTCCGTACTCCGTTTTATCTCCGTGCGCTTCGCACCTGATCCCGAGCTCTTACAGGAGTCTTCGCCAGGGGCATTCGGGGGCCTTCTCGGCGCCTTCCGTCCCGCTGTCAAACAGGTCCCCGGTCCCCGACACGCGGGATGGCGCCCGGGGGCGGAGGTGGCCCACGTGAGGATGGGATACCTGGGCTCTTCCGTCTTGGGTAAGCAAGGCAATGGATGTACCGGGAGCTACCAGAAAGCCTTACCTCCTGTTCTTGCCTGCTCTTAGATGTTGTTTCTCAAGTTGATTTGTGACTTGGACGGGATGGCAACCAGTTCAGCTGTGATTCGAGACTATTCAGGTACACCCCGGACGTTTCACAATGAGGTTCTAACACCAGCTTGAGCCGACAGAACAGAAGCCCGCCCTAAACAACGCGGAATGCCGTCCTATCGGCAGACGGCGAGCGAAGCTGTGAACTCCCGGCCTCGGGAAGATGGCGCAGGCGACGCGCCACTCACGGAGGGGGCCTGTGAGCGATGGCCCGGTATCGACACGCAGGCATCGCCAAGCAGCAGGCAACTTGTGGGTCTTCGGGTCTTCCTATGTCCTCCTGTGGATTCTGTTGGCTCAGGCGATCGCCACGGAGGGCCCCTTGGACATGACGCCCGGCGGCAGCGGCGGTGGCGGGGGCGGCCCGCCGAGCGGCAAGGCTTTGCCCCCGACCTGGGCAGAGTGGGACAGAGAGAGAGAGAGAGAGAGAGAGTGCGACACAGAGCCGACAGCGGTCTGACGGCTTCCCGTTTTTCTGGGAGTCAGCTGTAGATGGATGCTAATCTTGAACCTACAAAAAAACAGCCGAAGAACCACCAAAGCCTAGTTTTGCGAAAGGTCAACACGAACTGCACGGGCTGAGTCCCTGCACCGTTCTGAACGTTGGGATGCCGGAAGCTCCTGAACTGCAGCCGACCAACTCAGTGCAGTTTAGGTCCCTGGTTCGACGGTATCTGTTCCACTCACAGTCACGAACCACTGCTCTGAGAGTCGGAGGCAACACGTCGGAGAACTTCCGCGTGTGGAAAGGGTCATCGAGCTCACGAAAATCCAAGCGTCTCCGACTGCTCTTCCGTGTGAAACCACGAAGCCCCATGCACCGACTTCCCAACACCTTCAGCTTCGTACCGTCACTGCCTGGCCTTTGGCTCCGGCCGACCCCGGTGGCGATTCCTTCGGAAGAAACCTCACTTTGGGGATTTTGGGCCTCGCGGGGCTTAGAAGGAGGTCTCTTGCATGCATGGCCTTGATGCAACACCTGCGGGCGAGTGGCTGGCTCAACAGTTTGCTTCAGTGCAACGGCGCACTTCTGCAGGACATCTTGTGCGTGGCTAGAAAAGACACTTTTGCTCCGCAAGCCCCAAAATGCTGAGTGGGAAACGCCGGTCGCGCCACCGGAGGCTTTGCCGACCTTGGCTGGCAACCGTAGGCTTTGGCGGTTCATCAGACGTGTTTTGGCTCCGGGACCGCTTGCCAAAACATGAAAGGAAGGCTTCTGCTGTGCTTGTGTCTTTGAGGTTTGAGGATTGAACATGACCAGAGTCGTCTGTGGCCCAGGCGGTGGCGGAGGCGGAGCGTTCTTTGGCGGGTTCCTCAGAGACTCGTGGCGGAACAGACTTCCCATTGCTCGCATGCATTCAGAAGTCTCAGTCCGATTCCCGGCGCTGAGAACTTCACCACGCGCAAACCGACCGGCAACAAACCCTCCCGCTGCTGGTGGCTCAGCCGGGATGCCGGATCTCAAGGTGAACAGTAGCGCGACTTATGAATTGCCGGGGCCTTTGAGTCATTAACGTTTTGCAAGACCCGCAAGTCGGTAGGGGACCATCTGAAGACCTGGCCTGGGCGGCGCCAGAGGAAGCGCCGGCTTCTTCGCCGGTGGCTTCCGCATCTTCAGGCCCACGTCGTTCTGGGGCAGGACTTTGATGCCAAAATGATCTCGATCCCCCATCTGGAGAGTGGCATTCAGATTTTGCCGAGCTTAGCTCTGGGTTTGGGTTCACCTCAACAGTGGCCTTCCGAATGCGGCTCTGGAGGAAATCGCCGCCCACCAGCCGCCGGCGAATCTCGAACCTGTGTTGACAATGCACTCATTGCCGACAGCAGCCGTGGTAATGTAAGACCTGGACTACCCCCTTCTAGTACCCAAACGTCTCTCGTGGGCAGTCTTGCAATCGCAGCTCTCGCCCCAGGTTCAGCTCCGATGTGCAACGTAACGCAACAGCCGACATCAACAATCCTGCAACAACTTGAACTGATTGAGGTCCTTGTAAACAGCCTGAAGAACGGGGCCCGGACTTGCGCAGCTCGACTACCGTCGTCACAGCGCCTCGGATAACCTGCCCGGGCTACTGATTGGTTTGTGGTAGCTTTCGCTGGATCCCATGAGCTCGGTGGGACACATCCCAGCCCAACAACAAACAGAACCCCGAACCCGCCTCCAAGACGAACAAGGCGAGGCACACGCCAATGATGCAGGCATAGGCCCAATGCTGCTCCTCGTGCCCAGGCCCGACACGAAGATCTAAAAAGGCTCTGCTCAAGTCGCGGACCACCAAAGAAGGCAGACTTGGGGTTCGCATTTTCGGGCCTCAACTCGCTGAAACTTGGTGCTGTAGGTGAGATTGAGGACCACCTGCGCAGAGGCACACGAACCTCTGAGCTCACTTGCACTTGCTGTCATGGCATCCTTGCCCTGCTTGCTCTTGATCTCGTGACACGGAAATCTGAAAACCTCTAGTCTATTAGCCATAGCAAGCAAAAGAACCCCGAAAATTGCTGGTGAAGCAGTACTGCAACAAAAAAGATAACTCGAGGACTCGGGCATCGGATGTTGGATCGGGATGGGATGATTGAGGGGCTGCTCCGCTTTGCTGAAATCAGCTATTGTGAGCCTGGCACGCGATCGACGTTGCTGAGGCCTGAGTCGTCAACGGAACAGCGGTATTCCAGCTTTCGGAATGTATACAATTTTGCTGACAACTGCGACGATGCCATCAGTGAGAGTGGCACGAATGACAGGACTGACGTATTGATGTATGCCAAGCTGTCACTTCACCCTGGTTTGAAGTCTCTGCAGGAACATCCTACGGCGGACGGCGAAACGACGTCCTTCAAACTCGTTGTGTCTGGTTTGGATCTTTCACCCGCTTCCTTGAAGAACACCTTTGCCTCGAATTTCCAACCGTCCCAACCCAATCCTGGCTGATCTTCCATCCTCTCCCTGATGTCAGCCTTCTGGGACTTCTTCAAACCCTGTCTTGAAGCTTTAACCTCCTCTTCCCGACATCAAGGCAAGGCCCCAGCAATGTAAGGCGACATTAGCGTCACCTGGTAGACCCACTCCGGCGCCACCCAGCCAACGTCCTTGGGAGCAGTGCGCCAACCCAAACCGGCAAAGTGTCACTCACACATCAAGGTTGAGGCGGCAAACAAGATTTCGAAGACATTCCACAAACCAAACCCAACATCGAAAGCTAATCTCGAACCTCTGAACCCCCAAACTCCAAACCCAAACCCTCTTGAGACCCCAAGTCGTGTCCGCTCCTGGGCCTCATCCTGGAGCTGCTGCCTTGGCCAGGCACATCCAAACTAGTAACATCGAAAGAACATAACATACTATGACAGTGATGTCTCATCACGTAGTTCTACGGCACCTGCAGCATGATGCAATCCAATGCACTATGACATACTCCTTATTGCGTCGGTGGGGCGGAGCTAAGCCGTCAGCCGCGGAGTTGGACGACGTATGCATCTATGTTTGGTTGTGTTTATGCAAGGCTTCTTCCGACTTGTCTCCCTCTGTGATCCCAGATTTCTGGCCGCCGGAACAAAGCCTGGCCATGTTAATGGCCTTTTGGGCTCAACTCACACCCCCGACAATCCCAAGCCAGCATCAGCATCGCCACTTGGTCACTAGGCACCCAACGCATGGGACTTCGCCGCCCGGTCGATGTACGCGAGGCGCACACGCCGGACCTCTATAGGTCTCAGAACCCGCCGAATGCATTACTTGTCTCCGGAGAGCTCATGCAACCCAGGATGAAGTTCCTTAAGTCAGGCTATTCAGCGCATGGATATGTCAGGATCATATACATCATTTCTTGGTCTGAGGGCAGGGATCTAAAGACGCAAGGGCGGCCTGCACGGAGCCGCTCTTGCTCGGAGACTTCGGGGTCCCGCGACACGCTTCTCGACGGAGCTAGACGGACAGATACAGATGCAGAAGCAAAGAAGCAAACACCCATCCAAGAAAATTGAACACAGCCCGGACAGAGGGACAGACAGACAAGGACCGACACACGGACAGAGAGAAACCGATAAAGAGAGAGACAGAGACAGAGACAGCGACAGAGAGAGAGAGAGCGAGAGACAGAGAGAGATAGAGATAGATAGAGATAGAGATAGAGATAGAGATAGAGATGGAGATGGAGATAGAGATAGAGATAGAGAGAGACAGAGAGACAGAGAGACAGAGAGACAGAGAGACAGAGAGACAGAGAGACACACACACACACACAGAGGGAGAGAGAGTGACACAGAGAGAGAGGGAGAGAGAGAGAGAGTCGACAGGCTGAGGCGCACAGAGGCCCAGGCGAAGGTTGGGTCGTCTTCCCGGGGCGGAGGCGGCGGGGGTGGTGGAGGCGGCGGGACCTGAGAGGCAAATCGACAGGTTTGGGTGAAGAGCCGGGCACGTGTCACTCCCGGCCGGCGCAGCATCTTTTCACGATGACTCTGAAAAGTAGAAGCAACAGCAACTCTGAAGAAACTTGTGGTTTGGACTGATGCGAGGCAGGGCATGCTTGCATTCAGGGGTTGTGCTCAACATGGCAAGGTTGAAATTTATCTGACATGGTCCTAGCCACCCGCTGCATCTTTTCACGAGAAGCAGACCGGGGCGAGCGGACTAGCACCAGGACTCCAGGACACCAGGAATTCTGCTTTGCTACAGTTGGGTATGCCGATCACATGCTCACATCAACAAGCAGCATTTTCTGGTTCTCCTGAGCCTCGAGCACCACCTGGAAGGGCCTGGCCGGACGATGTTCTGAAGTATCGTTTCCAGCGTTTGGGCACTTGCCATCTCATGACAAAACCCACACTGATGTCATGCTTCTTCTGGGTACGATACGCTTGGGAGGGGGGGAGAGACTTTCCTTGCCTTTACAGGCTCTCTCGATCACCTTCGTCTCCTCTAAAACCAAAAGGGACACTTACAAAGGTCTGACCACAAGATTGGTGTCGCAGAGACTGTCAACTGTCCCACGCGCCTTGCCAGACCTTGATTCACAGGCTTCTTCTGCATTCTGTCAATCCTCATGCTTCTACTTCCTCGTCGTCATCATCATTTTGGCAATCCCGTGATGACTTCCAGCTCACGAATCTCAACAGACACACTCTCACTCTGCTTCCTGCAGAGGCACACGGAGTAGTGTTCTGCAGCAGCATATCACAACCGAACCACCAAAGCAACGCTTTTCGACTGTAAGGCTCGGACAAGCCCGGCAACCCCTTCGGAATCGGCGGACCCACAGGTGGAGCTCCAGGAGGGCCCCTGCAGGCGAGATGCGGATGCGGATGCGGATGCTTCAGGACTGAGCAATGGCCAAGGGGAGTGTCTTCCTCCTCTGATCTGCCAGAGCAATGAGGCTGCGATGGCACAACGGACCGGGAGTTCTGAGGGCTTCGCACAACCCACAACGTTACGGTGGAAACTGAAATGGCGACCAACGCCGGCGTATGTTTTGCAGCCCCCGCGCGCTTGAATGGAACCGGCAGGAACTTGGCCGGCTCTCCCCGATGGACCTGAGCCGCATCGCTAGGAACTTCTGTCTCTCTTTGGTGATTTGATCAGGGGCCGTCCCAAGGCTCCTGTATCAGGACACCAAGAAGAAAAAGCCGCTGTGCAGAGGTCTTGCATTGATTGTCCATGCCTATGCAAGAGTCGCAAAATGATTGACCTTTGGGCTCAGAAAGCAACTACAGTAACTGCAATGTGAAGCAAAATGCCACGCTCAACTCCGAGAGCAAGTTTGCTTGGCCCCTGTAGGCTGGGCTGCCATGCAAACCTTTAGCACCCGACCAAACCATAGGATGCTTTCAAGAAGCATCATATCACCAAACGTCTTGGGGTGAAAAAACACTTTCCCCAAAAATCTGCAAAGTGATAGTGTTCCGTTGCAGACTGGGGCGCTGGCAACTCCCCTCGTCACTCCCATTGGCTGCAACGGCATTGGGGGCAGATCCTTCGGCACGGCCTGGGCTTTGAACTTCGGGGCTCGGAATGGCAGGCCCTCCAGAATCACAGGATCTCTGTCTGCAATCGTGAGCTTTCCAGATCCGAACTTCTCAACTTGTCCTGAAGCATGGGTCTGAGCTCTCGCACCGGTGGCATGTACGAGCCAGGAGTGCTCCCTGCGCATGTGAGACATCTGTGAAACACGACAAGCTCTGACCGCAGCATAAGCGATGCCAAGGCTTGTGGGACAGCAGCCCATGGATGTCTACCCTGCACAGCTGTTATGAGAATCCCACTTCTGCGCAATGATTGCCACGCTTCAACAGATCTTCCCGAAGTTGTCTTTCAGTAAAACAGGTGGGGAGGGCGGTGCTCTCCGCAAGACCTGCACCTTGGAGAGCCACTGCTCAGAAGGCAAGAAGCCGACTCGGGCTGACGAATTTCAGCACATTAAATCGCAAAACAAAAAATCCCGAGTGCAAGGTGCCTGAGAGCGGTGGTGGCGTCCTTGGAGTGTTGTACGCTGACCTTCGGCTCAAAAGTTATCTTCATGCTTCTATAGATCACCTTTGGAAACTTGCGGGCCGATGCTTCTTCTGTGCACGCGCTTGTCGTGTTGAGAGTTTGTCTCGAGATAGGGGATGCGATTCTAAGACGCAAGGCTCCGCCTTCTATCTTCTTGTGAAATGCCGTGGTGCCTTCGGGATGGAAGCCCTGAGCCACCGACAAGCAGCCAAGACTGAAAGCGAGCATGCACGGCGTCCGTGACGAGTCAAATCATCGCTTCCATGGCCAGGCCTCCGATGTGGTGGCGCAATCACCGCTGAGAGCCCTGCCCAGCCGGAGTCCGGTTCACCGGCGTCATTCCACCCGTCGGTGTCATCCCGCCTGTGGCTCGGTGCACTGGGGAAAAGTTCGGTTGCAGTCGCTTGCTAGGCCATGTGCCAGGTCCATGGCACTGAGGATGCCTCTTTTTGTTTGCTGCATCCTTTAGCCCTCCAGACCTCATGGTCCTCGTTTCTGAACCTTAGCCGCCCCTCTCCAGACTTTGAGTTTGCACAAATGTGAGTTCTTGGTTTTCGAGTTGCTTAGGACGTGGGGTTTCGAATTCTGAGAAGGTTTCCGGTTCGGGAAGCTCCAGGTCCTGCGAGTGCTTTTCCATCCAAGGCAAACAAGGTTCATGTCGCGGGGACTGGCATGCGTTTGATCTTAGCATGATGATTTAGATCCTTGTTTCCCAAGGTCCCGGGTTTGGCAACTTCCCAAGACGCGTCACGTGACAGAGTCTGGAAGGGCCTTTATGGGCCTTTACGGAAACCTTTACTACAAAGCCTTTGGCTTGCAGAGCCGACTCGGGCTTGGGCATCGATGTGCGAGAGAGGCTCGAAGGCTCGGGGAGTGCTTGTGACTGCCCGACGCTCAACACGTAACCGACAACCTTCATA